AGATTTAAGAAATGATTAAAAATGTGTTTAAACGGAAAAAAGAACAAATAAATGTAAGGAAAGGAAGAGAGAAAATGAATAGGAAAGAGTGAAATTAATGGATCCTGGGAAATGCAGAATAAGAACAGAATAAAGAGAGAGAGGTGAAGAAGGTCACACCAAAGCCAGCTTGAACAAGTGAGTCTTCAGCTGCTTTTTAAAGGAGACCACTGAGTCCACCGATCTCAGGCTCAGGGGAGAGAGGTCCAGAGTCTGGGGGCCACAGCAGCAGATGATCTGTCACCTTTGACCTTTAGCCTGGTGCTGCACAACCAGTAGGCTTTGGTCACTGGACCTCAGGGACCTGCTGGGGGTGAAGGGACTAAGAAGATCACCAATGTAAGATGGTGCTTGTCCATGTAAGGCCCTATAGACCAGAACCAGGATCTAGAAATGAACCCTGAAGTTGACTGGCAGCCAGTGAAGCTGGAGGAGAAGCGGGGTGATGTGGGTGTGTTTGGAGGACTTGGTCAGAAGCCGAGCACAGGCGTTCTGAACCACCTGTAGACGGTTCAGGGAGGTTCTGCTCAGACACGTGAAACATATTTATATAGCACATTTCATACACAGAGGCTGTCACGATGAGAGGATGGTTTGGACCCAAAATGCAGATACCCAGGATGACACAAGGCAGGAGTTGATATAAAGAAAATCCTTTTATTTTAGGATGAGTCCAAAATAAAAACAAATCCAAAAAGGCAGGGAGCCAAAAACCAAAGATCCAGGAACAGGAGAAAAAACCTCACTTAGAGCACAGACTGGGAACCAGACCAGAGACTAAAGGTTGGTTTATGCTTGATGCGTCCGCGAGGTCCGCACGACTCTGCGCGGAAAAGTTGCGTCATTTTAACAACCACGCCCCTCCACCGCGTCTCCGCACGGCTCAAAATTTCCGCAACGCGCACCTCGGAAAATTTCTAACCACACGGACGGTCAGACGCGGAAAAACATGGCGGACTGGCAAGAACTAGTTGTGGCGGAGGTTCGTAAATACAGACATTTGTATGATTCAGCTCTCAAAGATCACCGTGATCAACATGTTGTGAGTAATTCTTGGCGAGAAATAGCTCGTACTGTCGGAAAAGACGAGGACGCTGTGAAAAATTGCTGGAAAAACATCAGGGACCGATATGTGAAGGCAAGGAAGGGGAAGAAAGGGAAAAGTGGTGATCCTGGTGGAAACCACAACACTCCACCAATTCTACAAGAGCTGAGTTGGCTCTCAACGTTCATAAAACATCGAGCAACAGAGACCAACGTGACATCAGCCGTGGTAAGTAAAGTTATTTTTCTGTGAAGGTTTAAGAAATGTGATCACATGATTCATAGACTTAATATTTTTTCTGTTAATGTTGAATAACAAACAGCTTCTATAAAACAAGTATATGTTAATTTTATTTACTTTAAAGGTTGAGGAGGAATCACAATCAGAGGCAGATCTCCTCCAGTCTGATTCCCCACCCTCCCCTGTCCCAACGCCATCTCCTTCATCATCCAGTTCATCTGACATCAGCACAACATGCCCACGCACCCTCCAAGACACGTTGTCCAACAGTTGTCCAACGGCAAAGGTCTTCTCCTCTCCAGGATCCAGTGGTGGTACGTGCAGTTGTACTTACACTTAGTTAATTGGAAATTTATTTTTAAATATTTACAAAATTGCTTTTCTGTTCAGGTTTAACCAGTGTCTGAATGAGTCCAGGCCCAGCACCAAAGCGGAGGAAGAAGATGGATGACGTGTTGCTCAAAAGGCTCGACAGGATTGAGCATGACAAAGCTGTCCTAAACACACAGAGGATATTAGATTTGGACATGTTGTTGCTGACCTGCTTGGGAAGATACCATCCCAAAAGAAAATGTCTGTCCAGTTTAAAATCTGCCAGCTGCTGTATGAAGCGATAGAGACAAACAATTCACAGTGATTTTTTTATGGTTTATTTTTATTTTTTCACGTGTC